TTTATTTATTTATAGTAGAGACGAGGTCTTGCTCTTGCTCAGGCTGGTTTCGAACTCCTGACCTTGAGCAATCCGCCCGCCTCAGCCTCCCAGAGTGCTAGGATTACAGGCGTGAGCCACCACGCCCGGCCTCTTTTTTTTCTTATCATTGACATTTATTGCGTCTTCAATTAAGTAGGCATGTAAAATATTCCACAAGACATCTCACCTTGTCTTTCTCTGTGGTCTCTCTCTCTCTCTCTCTCTCTTTTTTAAAGTCCTGACCTCAGATTAAGATTGTAGGCTGATTTCAAAAGTACAGGGAGAAAATGGGACTTTAAAAATCTCTGCCACCTCTTCTTAATGGGCCCCTTCGTCCCCCTTAACTACTCCTGGGGATGGAGGTCTTTTCCAAAGTGTGTCCCCTTGGTTTCCTTTCCTATCCGCTAGCTATATTCATTTCTCAGAGACTCATAGTTTTTATGGGATTTTAATTCTAACCTGTATCTACATAATTCTCAGTTTATAGTATTAAATTGAATCTCTCAAGAGAGATCTAGACTTGAATTCCCAACACCGTTCTTAACCCTCACAGGCTATCCTACCAGCACCCCCTCCGTAACCAACCAGCACCTCTTCAACAGCCCATTGGCACCCTTCGATACACAGTTATCACCTGGGACTCAACAGGGCCCAAATAATAAATGACCCTCCCCCTTCTAACTGCGCCTCTTCTCGGCCCCTTTAGTAGCACCCTATTCTCCGTATCACATGGGTTCTCCACCTCCAAATCTCCTTTCTTCTTCATTCCCCCCCTCCTTCAGGCCTCCTACCTCACGGATAAAGAACATTCAGCTGCCACTTACTACCTGCTAACAGGTGCCCCCAGATGGCACCAAACCCCTTACAGGCAAATGATTATCTCTTCTAAGCTCCTAAGTAGGTCTATTGGGTAGGTGTTTTTTTACATTAACATTTTACAGATGAGAAAAATGAAGATCAGAGAGGCTAATTAATTTGACTCCAAGCTCCACAGCTAGAAAGTGGAAGAGCAGGGCCTGGCCCAGGCTGCCCTATTCCAAAAGGTCCTCTCTCCACTGCCGCGGTGTCCTCTCACCACGTGCCCCTCTCAGCACCTGGCTGGGACATCTAGAAGGGCAGGTGCTTTGCCTTCACGAGAACAGAGCCAGGCAGGAACCGGGGCTGGATATTCCCAGATGGATGAGATGCGGCACCTGCTTTAGAGCTCATGAGGGAAAGAGACAGAAAACAACTTGCCATTTGTGACCAGGGCCATGGAAGCCTCTGGAACTGAGGGAGATGGAGGGCTGTGCCTCGGGGGCCAGGAGAGGCTTTGAGGAAAAGGAAACATCCAGGATGAACAGAACACTCCTGCGTGGCTGCAGCATTAGGTATGAGGAGACAAAAGCAGGAGGTATGTTCGAAAAACAGCCTGAGAACAAGGTTGTGCAGAGACCAGGCACCTGTTGAGCACCTGCTGTGAAGACCCGTTTTAAGGAGTTTGGATTTTATTCTGTAAATGATGGAAAGCCACCAAATAGTTTTTAAAGTGCAGTCAGTGTAAGATCAGAGTCCACATTTTATGACAATGACTCCAATTACGGAGTAGAAGATGCATTCATGGGAGAGTGACTGGGGTGAGTCCTTTGGACAGCTAGTGCCACAGTCCAGGTGGGAGAGACTCAGGAAATGGTGAAAAGACCTGTGAGTGAGTGGAGAACAGGGCTGAGAGGACCAAGTGGATGTGAAGGAGACAAAGGAGTGCAGGTAAAAGGGTCCCAGGGTGGCAGCTTTGCAGCCAGGCAGAGCAGGGCTCCACTCCTGCCTTCCCCGCCCCCGCTGAGCCCGGCCCTCCCTCACCACCAGGTCTCTCCCTTCCGAAAGGCTCCGTGTGTCTCTCTCTCCTCTGCTCAGGCTCCTGACCCCGTTCACCGTTCCCCATCAACCGCCACCAGCAAAGCCCCCCTCGCCTCAGCTCTTCTCCTGAAAACTCCACTCACCACACGGCCTGGGGTGGAAATGCGGAGGTCACAGAGCTGGCAGGCCAAAGTAGCAGATGTTCTGGGACAAGTGATGGAGAGGACGGGACAAGGAGCCAGGAAATGTCCCAATGAGTGATGGGGCTGGGGGGCCCCAACTGGGGTATCTCCAATGACCGCAGTGAGGAAGGGGGAGCTCAAAGGATCTGGGATTTTGAAAGACAGGAAGAAATGGCCTGCACATGGCAGTGAGGACCAAGGAGGCGGGGAGGCCTGCCAACCTCCCAGCACTTTCCTCAGCAGTCTGCTCCCAATTCTTGGGGTACATTCTTGCACCGCAGCTCAAGTCCCCCCACAACCTCAGCCTTGGCTGCCAGCTTCACTTCATTATGCCCCAAGGGAGCAGCAACAATCAGAGACAGTGTCCCCCGGCTTCCATCACCGAATGTGCCCTGCACTCTGCTCTCCCCTCGTCCCTGTACCAGGTCCCAGCCCTCACCACTCAAGGACTTTGCTCCTGCAAGTCCCGCCTATCACAGAGTCGCCCTGGGCATCCACGCACTCGCCACTATCTCCCCTGTGCCCTCCGGCAAGCGCCTCGGTAATCAAATTCTCCCCTTTGCTGTCACTACATCCGCACCCGGCTCCTCTCCTCAGCCCCTCTGGGCCCGATTCCACTCCTGTCCCGACCTCCCCTTACCGAAGCCCACCAATCTCCATCCATAGCGTACCCTGCCTCTCGAGAACAAGCACTGACACAGGAGCTCACTCCCTTCTCTGCAATTCGCTTTCTCCGTGTGCTTCCTGCCCTCCCCTTTCCTGGGTGTCCTCCCACCTCCCTGCTGCTCCTGGCTGGTGTCACCTGCTGGCTCTTGCTCTTCCCACACATGGATTTCCCCGGGGGCTCAGTCGTGCCCTTTTCTCTCTCACTAGATGCATCTCCTGGTTATTCTCACTTGCTCCCTTAGCTCTAAAGGTCGTCTATACAATGACAAATCCCAAGTTTATGTCTCCTGAGTGCCACGTGGATGTCTAGTTGACATCCCACACCTCACATGACTAAGTGCAAACTCTCTATTCCATCTGCCCCAGTCACATGTCTGCCCCAGTGACCCTCTTGGTCCTGCACCTTCTGCATCTCAACAAACGACACCACAACCAGTGCTCAAGCCAACACCTAGGAGTCACCCTTCATTTCTCTGACCCCACCTCCTTCTCCTGCCACACAGAGAATCACTGTCTTGGTCCTTGGGCTCCGTCCCCCAAAATAGCCCAAATCCACCCACTTCTCCGAGCGTCCATCTCTGGCACTTTCCCCTCTCGCCTGGTACCTGCAAAGGTTTTCACTCCTGTTCTCTATGATTTATTCCCCATCTGGAGAGGGGAGAAAGAGCAAGAACAGAAGCCTGGGGAGCTTGGCACCTGGTCCACCTGGAGAGCAGGCAGCAACATGGATGAAGCAAGGAGCTGACCAGAGGACAGAACCCACAAGGAGGGAAAGAGAGAGGTGAAAGGAAGAGAACCTTAGTTAAAAACATCATTTCAAACGCAAGGTTGGAGAGTGGCCATCACCATTCCCAGGCAAAAGTGCATCTGTGAGGATGTGCTGGCCAAGCGTGACAACACGTGGTCTGGACCATCACCCTGGAAGCAAAAGTCACCTGGATTAAGGCAAGGGATGTGGAGGAGATGAAGACCCTAAGCCAGGTGTCAGGTTTTGGAGGAGCATAGACAGTAATGAGGAAACCCATGAGAGATGCCCTTCCATGTTCAGCATGCTGCCAAATATTAACATTTCTACCACCCAGTCTCTCACCTTCATACCCTTCCCACACTTCCTTTACAGCCCATGTTTGGGTCCCCAATGCCTGGGACACCACAGAACCTCACTGGTCCTGCCACCTCCTGTCTTCTCCCATCCTGGACACTGTGGACCAATTAGCCTCCCTAAAGAATGGGCAGTTCCAATGATAAGACTCCCCTGCTCAGATCTTTAACAGCACCTCATGGCTGCTCATAGTACGGACAATCTCCTTCCCCTGCCATTCACAGCCTGACTCACCCAACCAATACACCATTCTAATTCCATCAACTCCTCCAGGCAATTTGAATTCCTTATTTTCAAGCACACCTGGTACTTTTCATCTCCTTTCTTTTGTTCCTGCTGCTCTCTCTCTCTGGAAGCCCCCCTCCCTCTGCTGAAATCTTAGGGTATAATATAATTAAGAACACAGGTCTGAAGTCAAACAGATCTAGATGCATATCTTACCCACCTAAGTACTTGTTCTGTGATGCTGAGCAGGTTATTTAACTTTTCTGAGCCTCCATTTCCTCTCCTCTAGTTTGGATCTGAGTAAACATTGCTCCGATGAGAGTGGAAAGTGAGAAAATCTAGGTAAAGTGACTAGCATAGTAGCTGCCACAAGGGAGGCTACTCAAAGAGGCAGCTATTATTTTTAATATCCTTCCTCTGTTCATTCTTTCCGGATGCCCCTGCAAAGCAAGTCCTCCCTCTGCTGGGCCCTGTGTCTCATTGCCTTCCTGCAACACTTTCCTGCATCTGATTCCATTGCAACTGCATTAACTCTCCTTGCTCTTTAAAGGTAGGAAGCAGTCTCGCCCACTTCTGTACGTCCTCTGGCACTAAGCCCAGTTCATGTAGGACTCTATAAATGTTTGTTGAATCAAATTATCTTTAATTTCCCCAGCATACAAATAGAATCTCAGTTATAGTGATTTTTCATAGCTGTTCACTAAGTAATACTGAGGATGAAGAGTGGGTAGGACTTGGGGGCAAAGTGATATCATTACCATCATTCCAATATGCAAAACGTATCCCTTACCCAAAGTCTATTGCTTCAAACAACACAGGAAACATAGCCGATTGATTTACGTAAGAACTTTCCGGAACAGAAATACATTTAGCTCTGAGACTATGAACATGAGTTTGGGGAACCACTTTGATTTGCATGAAACACGTAACGGCATTAAAAATGCTGAATGAAAAGACTATCCCCTTACGGTCAGCCTGCAGAAGGACAACGTGGTGCAGGGTCAGGGCCATCCTTTGGGAGTCAATAGTGCTCAGGATCTTGGCAGCGGCGGTCCCCAGCAAAGGCTTTCCGTTGTACAGGGTGTAGTACGTCAGCTCCGCCGGGTCCTTAGGGCCTGGCACACGCTGCATCTTTACCATCTTTGAGAAAAACAGAGGCTGTGTGTTTACAGGGCATCTTGCACGGACCCTGCAATAATCACTCAGGCAACTAGCAGGCTCTCCTCTCCCGACTTCTGTGGCTAAGTGGACCGACTGCATAGACGTTAGACACCAACCTCTGCATCCCTCCCTATATCCAGCATCTCAGGAAGCCTGCTATCACTAGAGCAGGAGACTGGGAGGAGAGAAAAAGGGTTGAAAAATAAAAATATGAACATCTAGAAAGAACAATTTGAGGTTGGAAAAGAAAACGTGGACTAATGATGTATCCCAGCCCTGCACAGAACTCTGGCCTCATTTGAAAATAGGCCTTCACATTTAATTCAGGGCACGTTAGGTTATTCTCAAATGAGACTTTTAATTTCAAATATCTGCAATTGCCAGAAAGGAAAAAAAAAATTGACTTACAGGTCTGCAATTCAAAAGATCTCTGATAAAAGCAGTACTTGGAAACTCAAAGTTCTTTTTCTAAAATAACAGTCCTGCTTTTTTTTTTTTCAGTCTAAAAGTTATATATAAAACTATAGGAAAATTTGAAAATATAGAATAGCATCAGGAAATGAAATAAAATAAAAACAATCTATAATCCATCTATCACAAGCTAATTCTTCTTATCATTTTGGAGTATTTGTTTCCATGCTTATTTTTTCCCCACACAAACCTTTATTATTTATCATATCTATATAACATCATATCTTGCTATTTGCACTTGCATCTTTAAGTGGCTTTAAATATAACAAAAGCATAAGTATTTATTTCTACATGGCATTGCAATGCTTTCCTCATAAACTTATTTGACAAATACTTTATTACTAAACATTTGGATGGTTACTACTTTTTTACTATTGTAATTAACAATTGATAATCATAAATACTACAGCATAAATCTTAATACTACATACTGTTCTACTGTATGCATGCCTTTATTATTGAACATTTAGGTTATCAACTTTTTGCTACTATAATTAACAATTGATTAATATAGTATTTTCCAAAGCGTATGTTACAGAGTATAAGTTTCATAGAATAATAAAAGATATTACAAAAAAGTTTATAGCAATATTGTTCATAGCAGTAAAAAAAACTGAAAATTCACAGGTTATTGATAAAAGACTAGATGAATGAGTTAAGGTATATGAAATATACCACAATGAAATGACACAGAGTAGTGAAAATGAGTGAACTATGGCTATTCCTATCAACATGGATAAATACAACAGCCTGATGTTGGGCAAAAGAAACAAATCACGGAATATGAATTCAAAAACAGGCAAAACAACATGATATATTATTTAGGGATACACACATGAATGGTAAAATCTATACAAAAATATGGAAATGATTTCATACAAAATTTAGAATAATGCTCAACTCTGAAGGGAGGGAAGGAAGTATAATCAGAGAAGCCTTTTATGTGAAAGGCTTCTGGGGTAAGGTAAGTGCAATGTTTTTACCCTTTGGGTTGTGAGTTCTTTTTATTAGTGTTCTTTGAATTGTGCATATTTCTTATATTCTTTTGTATATATGCTACATATAACAATTAAAAAAACAGATATTACTACAACCCATAAAAAGTGGGCAAAAGATATGATAGATACTTCACAAAGGAAGATATTTGAATAGCCGATAAGCACATAAAAAATGCTCAGTGGGGGAATTCAAATTAAAACCACAAGATACCACAGTATACCCACCAGAATGGCTAAAATAAGAAGGACTGACAACACCAAGTGTTGATGAGGATGTGAAGCAATTGGAATTCCATGTCTGGTTTGCGGGAGTGTAAATGGTACAACCACTTTGCAGAAAGATCTAGCAGTTTCTTATAGAACTAACATGCATCAACCCAGTGAACCAGAAATTCCATTCCTATTTCCAAGGAAAATGAAAGCATGTGGCCACAAAAAGACTTGCAGAAGAACATTCACAGCAACCTTGTTTAAAGCTGCAGACTGGAAACAGAGGAATGGATAAACGAACTATAGTATGTTCACACAAGAGAATATTATTTGGCAACAAAAATAAACTACTGAATAATGCAACAAAATGGATGAATCTCTAAAACACTATGCTAGATCAAAAATGCTTTATACAAAAAAGTATTGCTGTAGGATTCCATTTATATGAAGTGCTAGAACTTCAAAACTAATCTATGGTTTGGAAGTGTATAGAATTGCATGTTATGGAAAGTATAAGGAAATGATGTATGTTACCAAATACAAAATAGTAACGTAGTATATAATATTAGTTGCAGAACCTAGATTGTGAGTGTTTGGGCATGCACTATATAATTTTTTCAACCTTTCTGTGAGTTTGAAAACATTCATAATAAAATGTTAGGGAAATGCAGATATTACCACAAAAAACAAGGGTCTTATTAACATTTCAATTTGGAAACAAGTATGTTGAACAAAATGAAGGGTTTTTATAGGCACATATGCTTTGGGAATCTTCAGGATGGGGCTATGGGATGCAGACTTGCCCAGACCAGTTTGGCCAGACAGCACCTTTACCTCAAGACACCTTACAGGTCATTTTCTGGACACTCTCTGGAAAACACTGTCCTTACCCTTTTGTCTTTGTGTTCTCCTCTATCTCCTCCAGATGGATTTCTAGGAGTTAGTCTGTCATCCTCTAAAAGGTTCTTGTCTAAATTACTCACTTGCCCTCCAGAAAGGTCAAACTCATTTATGAGTGTTTGAAAAAGCCCACTTCACTGCATCCCCATCATTACTAGGTAGTGCCATTTTTTTGAGCTTTGCTAGGTGAAAATGGCATCTTGTGGTAGTTAAAACTTGCATTACTTTGATTACAAATAAAATCAAACATTTAAAAAATGTCACTAGTCATTTGTATTCCCTTTTAGGACTCCATTTTTCAAATATGTCAACTAGAGAAATACTTTTACATTTTAGACATCTAAATCTGCATATTCATGAAGGTGGCTCATCTTTTAAAATGATCTGAGAGCCCAGAAGAAAGGCCTCTGGGTGGAAGGATGATGTAAGCTGTGTAGAGTGAATTTTTAGAGGGGAAACTTGGCATGTTTCGCTTTTCCCTATTGGGAAAGGAGGTGGGGAGAGTGTTAACACAACCAGGTAGAAGGTGAATGACCATTCAAATATCTAATAACTTCACTCAATTTTGATTTAATAGCAAATTCTTCTTACCGAAATTTCTTTAAGGGTGAAGCCAGAAGGTGATCTACAGCCTCTGTAAATTAGGGATTTGCAGAAATAAACCCCCACCTGCTTTCCTGAGACTTTCCAGGCAGCTAAAAGGGCCAAGTGCACTGAGCCCTTAGAAGAAATGAGGGAAAGAACATCTCTCTGGGAACTTTTAGACATGCAGAATGTGCCAGGTTTCTTAGGTTTACAAATAACACCAGGAATGTAACGTGGTCCTTCCTCCCCCTTTGGCTGATGCAAATCCCATTTCACAGTTGTCTGAGCACCAGTGACTTCCTTTCTGTCATTTGGAAGAGTGTAAATTACAGGGCTCACATGAAAGCTACAAAGGGGAAACCACAAACCTGGAATCAACCATCCCCTCCCCTTATGATGAGGCTGTTACAGACCACAAAAATTTTAGAACGAGCAGGATAAAGGGTCAAATTCACCAGCTGTGAATGGAGGGACCCGGAGTCTCCATCAGGGGCATGATGCTGACTCACGCAAGGAAATGTGTTCTAGGAGTTGGGTTGTTTGTACTCACAAGATTGCCTGGGGACATGATCTGCAGACAGACTGTGCTAATGGCTGCAATTTCTCTTGAAATGCTTCCTCATAGATGTGTGATACTATGCATTTGTGCCATGGTTCAGTTACACTCTAGATGTGGGCAATGACCCATTGGGGGTTCACATGCCAGGGATAGTCCAGATTCCAATTAGGAAGTCCCTACTCCAGAGGCAGCTACCAGGAGTATTTCTATAATTTGATATGCTCAACAGTGCTGTGTTAATTAGCATGACAAATGTTAGAGATGGGCTCTCATTGGTGAAGTTAGTGGTATTCAAAACATGTGGATTGGCTAGGACATGCTACAGACACCCCCACACCTACAGGAACTAGATGAGGCCTCTAGAGAGGCTTAGAACCCGTGCCCCTGGGGATGACTACTGCCTTGATCAGGCTGCCTCCGAGGCAGACCCTTAGAAGAGCTGAGTGCGTGTAGTTTATCTGAGAGGTGCAAGGAACTGACAGGAGGGTGAGGAGGTGATACAGGGATGGAAAAGGAGCCTACAAGTGGTGCATTATTAAACCAGTTACCACAGTGGGTGACTCAAGCTCGATTCTGTGGAGAAGCTCTGGAAGTGATCGAAAACATACATTCCAGAATTCTCCTAGCCAAGAGGCAAGAGAGGTAGGATATTTATACCTCCATCACTGGTTAATGCCCAGGCAATTCTGGCCAGGATGGCATGTGCAAAGTGGGTTCTGGATCTTAAAAGCAGACCTCCGATAAAGACCCCAAGGCTGGCTGCTGGAATTCCCATCAGCGTGCATAGCAATGGTAGGGAGAAAGGGGCAGAGCACCAGTAGTGTCTGCTACTTCTCTCTCTAGGCCAAATCTCTATGTCATGGTCAGGTGTTCACCATAAGTTTGGAGGGTTCCTTTTGTTGAAACTGACTCAATACAGATAACAGAACCCTGCCTCTGGAGTCCCGGTGCATCTGCCATTCATAGTAGTGGTGGTGAGACAGCCTAAAGGGACAGAGAGCTGGGACCTCATTGGGCTTACAGAACAGGATGACAAGTTTGTGCTAGCTTACTAAGACCTTTGTTTCATGAATACCTGCATGTGTGCAGATTTTCTTCTGAGACCTCCTTTTTTTATAATCTAGTTAGTGACAAGGTAGGAGGAGGAGCTCTCACCCTCCTTCATGTTTTTGATGGTTATGACCATCAACACCAAAACCTAAGAGCAGTGTTGACTAAATTAATTTAATTTTTGAAATTTTAATTTTAAAGTTTGCAGCATGGATCCTCCTCTGTACACATGTATTTATTTAGTTTAAGGAAGCACATCCCCCCAGAGTTATCAGAAAACCCCAGAGGCGTTGCACACACTCACCTGTACAGTGTAGCTCCCCAGGGTGGTGGCCCGTTTAAACCGCCGGCCTTGTTGCTGCGACATCATGAACAGCTGGGCCAGGCGCTGCTCCATGACTCGGGCGAAGCTCTGGTTGTGCAGGCCCACCAGCGAGTTGTCCACGCCCTGCAGCACTGCGGATGCAGATGGCAGAGGTTTTTTGCTAGTTCTTACTCAGCAGTCCTGGCTCAGGGCTGCCCTTATTTCATTGTTCCTTCTCAACAGCTTTGCTGAAGAATCTGAGCTTCACCCTGCAATTCAATCCTTTCCATCTGGGCAAACCACCCTGTTCAGTGTTCTCATCTCTCCCTCCTCTCTGGAGCCCTTTTGGTGGCCACCCTAAAACTTCCCAGGGCCCCTCAATTCATCTCCCATTCAAGCACAGGACAGCTTATTGGAAAGGGTGGGCTCTCCCTGGGTTCTGGCACTTGCTGGGCAAGCCCCTGGCCCTCCCTAAGTCCGTGTGCTTCTCTGTAAAAAGGGAATAAAACAGTGCACATCACAGCAAATATATTCCTAATGAGCTCTAAGGTTTAAATGAAACATGATGGATAAGCGGCTTAGCACAGGGCCTGGGGCCTGGAAGGCGAGTGGAAGTCCTTTCTTTCCCACCCCTCCTCCACTGCTAGGCTTTGGGTACACCAGGCATCTGGAGTTCCAGTCCAGGGCTAGTGCATGCAGGAGGGTTTTAATGAACTCTAAGGCCATCCTAGGACTGTGTGGTCACTTACTATGGGGACGATTGCCTTTTTCTATCTGCCACCAAGCCCAGTCCCTTGGGAAGCACATTTCACTCCAAACACACAAGCATTGCCTTCAAACACAGTCATGCCTAAAATTTAAAAAAATGCTAAAAACAATTCTCATTTTCTTAAAGAAACCAAAATTTACAAGGGCTAGGAATGTAATATAAGGTTTTCCATTCAATAGCGTTTGTTCTACCATAGTCCAGCCAAGGATCATCAATACCACCCAGCTGCCAGGACACACAAACAGCTTGGATATAAAGAACGTGTTGTAGTTACAGTCAGGTAGGACAGGGTGCCACCAGCAGCCAATACTAACGGTCACGTTCTGTATGGGGCCAGCAAGCGACTGGCAACAGCAAGATACAGAGAATGATGTTTAAATGGATCAAGAGAGAAATAGCCGAGTGGCGTTGGTAGTATAGTGGTGAGAGTAGCTGCCTTCCAAGAGAGAAATAAATCCCACAGCTGGGTCTCAGAAATTACTTCTTTGAAGCCATAAATGACAAATAATCCCCCTGGAAGGTATAAAGCAGCTCTCTTTCTAGGGCCCGGCTCATCCGTCAGCTGAATTCCTGCAAACCAAGATAAACCAAAGAGCTGCAATGTTCCCAATGCAACAGGTCCCAGAGAGGACCCTCGGAATCCCTCGAGACACAGCTGTCAGACTATGGAAGAGCTGGCCCCATATAGAACAGCCCATGCACTTGCCAGTTCCAAGGTGCCTCCTCTAGCAAAACGACAGCTCAAACTGCTGATGGATACTACAAAACTGGCCTCTCCTGACCCCTGGACAACATTGAGAGAGAGGACACATGGGAGAGTCAAGGGGCATCATTGTGGATTATTTTATGGGAACCTCAAGTGACGATTCTCAAGCAGACATCAAATAAATGGAACAGTCAAAAGCCTCCAGGTGACAAGTTCTGGAAAGAGCAGTGATAGTTGTACAACACTGTGGATATACTTAAAGCCACTGAACTGTATGCTTAAAAATGATTAAAATGGTGAATTTTATGTTAGGTGTATTTTACCATAAAATTTTTTTGGAAAAAAAAAATGCCCCAGGGAAGTGCAGGAGGCTGTGGAAAGCTCCCACAGGGTTACAGGGAATCAACAACCGGGCAATTTCCACGTTTCATCACTGCTATCTGCAAAGACGATGACTCCTTCCCTGGGGGCAGCAGGATGAGCCTAGGTTGGAGGCAGTGGCCTGAGTTTAAATCCAGGCTTGACTTACCGAGTGTTCTAGAGCAAGTCTCTGAGTTTCTCTGCATTTCAGTTTCCTATCTGAGAACACGGGGCTCACTGTCTACTCCTGATTCTGTCGTTGTGAAGCATAGATAATTTGATAAAAAATGCTTCTGGCTGAGTAATAGATGGTATACATATACCACATTTTATTAATCCACTCATGTATTGATGGGCACTTGGGCTGTTTCCACATCTTTGTGATCGCCAATTGTGCTGCTATAAATATTCAAGATCATCCTTCTAAGTGAAGGATCACAAGAATGGAAAAACAAACACCACATGTATTCACTATTAAATTAGAACTAATTGATCCACGCTCATGTGCACATATGGCGGTAAAATTCAAGAGAATTCAAGCAGGTGGGAGGGGGAGGAAGGGATGGGTAAATTCGCTCCTAACGGGTACGATGCACACTACCTGGGTGATGGACACACTTATAACTTGGACTCAAACTCTAAAAAAGCAATTCATGGAACCAAACTGTTTGTGCCTTTGTAATACTGTGACATTAAAAACAAAAATTTTATCAGGAAAAAAAATGCTTCTGGCATGGTGGGATCAGGCACTTGGTAGAATGCCAATAAGTAGGAGCTGTTGTTGTTGTTGCAAAGTGACCTCATCTTCACTAGGCACATGCTTAAGAGAGGAAGAAATAACACAGAGAGCGTTGAAACGTGTCCTAGGATGCAGCTCCTCTCCTCTCCCCTAGAAGTGTGGCGGGCCTCGGGCTCCCGGCCCTCTCTGCCAGCCTGGAAGGCAGCAGAAAGGAGCATGCACCCCTGTCTCCCACAGTGACACGGAAGCCACAGAACCACAGAAGCTTGGGCCTGGTGCGGGCGTCCAGGAAGCTGGCAGCCCTTTTAGCGCATCAGCCAGGGTGCCAGTCCCCCAGCCCCAGCTGTCACTGATTCAGATTAGAGCAAGGGGGCAAGTCCCCAGCTGTGTTCAAAGGAGACGACTTTTACATCACTGTTTTTAGTCCTTGTTTATTTACAATGACAGCGGGCCCTACAATGCAAGTGATCAGGCCTGGTTTGGCATTCTGTCCTCAGGCTAAATTGTTTTATCAGTGGTTGAATCCAACACATGCAGCACTGAAATAATCTTAATGCCCGGCTAATCCCTTTCCCTCATCCTACAGGTGAGAGCGTGAAGTCCAGAGGGCCGGAGTGGCTTGCCCAGGGACGTGGGAGGTCAGCCAATGGCAGAGCTGAGACCAGAAGAGATCCTTCCTTTGTTAGGTCTGGGATATTTCTGCTCCCGTGGGTGAAATAAAGACAGATGAATGAACCCGAGATGGGTCCCTGGATGGCACGGTAGCTCCTGGTGAAGAGGGAATGCAGAAGTCACCTTAAGCCAACGATTCCCCATCAAGGAGGGACCTACGCTCTGGGAAAGGACGAAGGGCACAGTGTGCAAAAACCTATTTAGTATAAGTTTAGTTGGAAAAACAGATGAAAGCATGCCAGGCTTTTATAATGCAAACCACAGAAAGGGAAGTTGCTCCAGATCGTCTTGGCTGTTAGCAACTAGCGGAAGACAGCTCGTGATGACCGTCTGGAAGTAAAGGCTGAGCTAAGCTACCTTCGTCTCTCAGCTCCCCATCCCCTACCCGCTGTGTGAATGACGGGGCGGATTGGTGGTGGCTGCCCAGGGGTTTGGAAAGTGGGCATGGGCTAATGGGAAAGCAGAACGGTCATCCTGAGACCTGGCTCCAGCCCCTCCCAATCACTACCACTGACCCAAGAAGCCCCAAACACAGCCATGGAAACCACTGTCTTTTCTGGTCACCAACAGCAATAACAGCAATGACAAATAAGGGTTTCATAAGTGAGTGGGGAGAGGGTTAAGTTCCAGGAGCGTCCTAAAAACAAGACCACTTGTGGAGCTTTTTATTAAGGTTATGTCAAAACCAAAATAGAGGCAGGGCAAGACACCGGTAGCTGAGGACAGAGTGACACCGGCGTTGACAAGGACAGCCTGTGTTCAAGGGTGGGTGTGTTTTCTCACTGCATGGAAACCTTATAGTTAATAGATAAGGAGAAATAGATGCAAGTTAAAAAGTGCCATTCCTTGTGGAGGAAACATGATTTTGTACATGTTACATAACCTGCTGGCTCCAAAAATGTGTTGCTCGGTTAGCATTGTTTCTCTCTTGGGCATAAACCCTGGGGTGGGTTGGCTTTTTGCTTGCCTTCTTAGCAGGCAAAATAATCTCTGCATACCTATGGCTCTGCAGGTGGGAGGAACGGGGGAAGAAATGTGATTTTCTGCAATTTAGGAGCGGTCTGGAGCAGGCTTCATTAAGCAGGGGTATACAGTCCTTAGTGTCTCAGGTGGTAGCCCATCTGCTGCTCATTCGGGACAGCAGTGAGGAAGAGGATGGGAGGAGGAGGAAGGGAGGAGTGAGACCAGGCCTGCTTACCCAGGCACAGCTTCCATCCCTCCTGAATTGGGTCCCCTGAAATTCCTATATTGAAGTCCTACCCCCCAGGACCTCAGAATGCGACTGTATTTGAAGACAGGGATTTTAAAGAGGTAATAAAGTTAAAATGAGGTCATTAGGGGAGCCCTCGTCCCATATGACTGGTGTCCTCATAAGAAGAGAAGATCAGGACACAGACAGGCACAGAGTGAAGACCATATGCAGATACAGGGAGAAGAGGCCACCTACAAGCCATGGAGAGAGGCCTCAGAAGATGCCGACCCTGCGACACCTTGACCTCAGGCTTCCAGCCTCCAGCACCATGAGAAATTTCTGTTCTTTAAACCACCCGGTCTGTGGCCCTTTGCTACAGCAGCCCGAGCAGACTCATATTCTGCTCCTTCTGTTCCTCCCCTTTCTGGCTGAGCTGGTCACTTTTCCTCCTACAAACATCTGTTCGCTCCCTTTGCTCTCAATCCTTGTTTCTCTAACTTCCAGAGCTACTGTTGGGCTTTTGAAAAACACAAACAAGAACTTTTTGGCTGTTCCCTAAAGCCCCGCTGGGAAATGTCAAGGAACAAAAAAGAAAACGCCACCAGTACCCCCTTCCACGTCCACCTGCACTCTCTGTCAGTACACGCCAGGATTGGTGCAGGTGCACGACTCGCGCCAGGGGAGGAGACACGTGCGTGCCTGGCCCTCCTCTGGCTTTAATTTGGGGTTTTGTAGGGCCGTGCAGAAAGGCCCACCATCTACATGCAGATCACCATTCACATGGACATGCCTTAGATGTCCACAGGGTAAGGCTATAACTTCTGATAGGGCCACTTTTTGCAATGACGCCGCCGGGTGAGGACTTGGAAGGTAGCCGTTCTGAAGTGTTTGGCTAATGTTCGTCTTCGGTGTGATGTCTTTTCTTATCTCAGCTTACTCCATTCACTTCTGGTCCTGTAGAAGTCACTCCCTTACTTGTAAGAAAGGACCAAAGAAAGTGCCAATCCTATAATTGAATGGCCTGCAATTTTATTATTTTATTATTATTTTGTTAATTTCAGAATATTAGGGAAGTACACACATTTTGATCACATATAATGCCTTTGTCTCGCCCAAGCCAGGGCTATAAGCTTGCCCTTCCCCCATACAGTGTTCACTGCACCCATTAGTTGTGAGTTTACCGACCCCCACCTTCCCCCTCTCACCTGACCAGCATCCAGTGAATATTACTTCCATGTGAGCACCTTAGTGTTGATCAGTTAATACCAATTTGATGGCGAGTACATGTAGTGCTTGTTTTTCCATTCTTGTGATACCTCACTTCAAAGGATGGGCTCAAGCTCTATCCAGGATAATATAAGAGGTACTAGATCACCATCGTTTTTTGTAGTTGAGTAGTATTACATGGCATACCTATACCACATTTTATTAATCCATTCACGGATTAATGGACACGTGGGTTGTTTCCACATCTTTGTAATTGTGAATTGTACTGCAATAAACATTTGAGTGCAGATGTCTTTATCATAGAATGTCTTTTTTTCCTTTGGTAGATACCTAGTAGTGGGATTGCTAGATCAAATGGTACTTCTACTTTTAGCTCTTTGAGATATCTCCAAATTACTTTCCATAGGGGTTGTACTAATTTGCAGTCCCACCAGCAGTATAAGAGTGTTTCTTTCTCTCCACATCCATGCCAGCATTTGTTGTTTTGGGGCTTTTTGATAAAGGAATAGGCTGAAATTTTAAAAAACCAAACCAATCTGACAGCATGAAGAGCAGAAATAACAAAATAAGGGATTACCTGTGATGACCCAATAGTCTCTGGTTGTTTCTGATATATCAAGGTTGGGATATTCCAGTGCTAAAACAAACAAGAAACACTCCAAATTACTTTCATAGGCTTTATTTATAAATATTGTTAAGGGAAACAGACATAAGTGACAAAATAGCAAGCAGCTAAATCTTGCTTTATCATCCTTGCGAATTCCAGGACATAAATGCCAAAACTATCTTGTTGTCCAGAAAACTAAAAGACTCAGTAAAAGGTTTTCTAGGGTTTGTGGGTTTCTGCTCTTTCAGTATTTCCATTAAAACCTTCTTGAATGGAAAGCCTTCATCATCAAGAGCCACAGCCAGAACCTGTCCTAATTGTAGCTTTCTTTTTAAAAAATTATCCAAACTTCCATTAACATGTTTTAGGAATGATTTTATCTTGGATGGATTTTTTCCAATGTCAAGGACTTAAGTTTAGTAGCAAATACCTGTAACAAAAGGCCCCATATTTCTTTACAAGTATGGTGCCTACTGGATTTAATACATGCAAAGGTCTCAGTACAGTGCCTGGCATACAGTTAGTGCTCAATAAATCTTACTTGCAGTTATTAGAATATCAAAATAATGAAAGAAAATAAATTCTTCACATGCTTCCCTGTGATATAATGCCATCTGTTATGACATCATCTGTTCCCTAAAATCCAGGGTCATCTTTATTTATTACATGGAAGTTTATAAAAGCTTGCCATTAAACAAACATTCCAAAAAACTTCTGAATGGCTCCTATGTGCTAAGTATATTCACCTACCTATCTTGTTTATTATCTTGTTTATTTACAATATCAACAACAACCATGGAAGGAAATTATGAGATAATTTTGCTGATATGTTATTTTAAAAAAAAAAAAACTTGCTCAGTGACTTTGGGAAATGTAAGAATGATTAAATTTAAGAGAACGTACCTTTACTTCTTTTGGCTACCAAGTAAGTGTTTGGATACAAAATGCAGGCTGCATCGTCCTCGAAGTCTATGCCTACTGCATGGCAATGAGGGTTATGTAAAGGAAGCGCTAGAAGACAGCGAGGCCACAAGACTAGGGGGACCTCACGGAGTGCAGTGACAATGTGGATTGCAAATGAGTTGCATTATGGAATCTAGAGGCAGGGCAGGAGCTGAAGGTCAGGAACATGTGCTGGCGGCACAAATGGGAGGAAAGCACCATGACCCAGATTCCTGTGAGGACAGACGCCCTCACAGGCAGTACTGTAAGCCCAGAAGGCAGACTGCTTGGGTTCAAATCCCAGGTTCTGTGTCTCACTAAGTATGTGAGAGTGGGTGTTCCGTGAAACCCCTTGGAGTTTCAGTTTTCTCCTCCGCAAAATGGGGCTGATGTTGCACCTACCTTTTAGGGCAGTTGTGAGGATTAAATGAGATAAGAGACATGTGAAGGCTGGATGAAGACACCTAGCAACTGCTTTCTTTCAGTGTGCTTTTCACCGATTCAACCCCAATCCATCTCATATCCCAGTTGCTGCTTTATGATAAAAGAGGTAGTATGTGGCCCAGCACGGCAGATGTTCGCTAAATGGAGAAAGGCCCCAGGGAAAACCACAGGGCCCGGTACGAGGTGGGCATACTCACGTTCAGCAATGGTGAGCGGCGGGTAGGTGAGGTAGAACCCCACCAGCTCAGCCGAGAGCTGGCTGAGGAGGCTGCTGGCAACGGTGCCGTTGAGGAACGTGCTCTGATTGCCCACGACGTACACCAAGGTGACCGCCTGGGAGGCGTTGGACGTGCTCACAATCTGAATCGACACAGGAGGAAAGGGGAGGGAAACATGCCAAATAAGAGAGGGTCTGTTTCATGGAGGCCATGGGAGAAGGTTAAGCTGAAGTTGAGGGTAGGAATGAAAGGGAGGTGGGGAAACAGCAAGAAAAGAGACAAGAATAACGACAGTCGTCATTTTCTGATGGCTTGCTAAGCGCCAGGCATTGTGCTATGGGCACATCATCTTATTCAATCCTTACCGTGACCCTAGAAGGTGTATCTAGTTAAGACCCCCTTTCACAGATGAGAAAACTGAGGCCCAGAATGATCAAGGGACTTGCCCAGGGCCACACAGCTAATAAGTGACAGTCAGGATTTGAACCCAGGTACTTTGACTTCAGGTTCTTAACCGCTGGTGCATGTAACTTTTCCTGGAGCTAAGTTGTCTCAGGTTACTTTTATGGTTCTGAAAATATAGAATAGAGCTAAGAAATGTTAAATTTAAGGAGACCTCAACTGCTCCAACAGAGAAAGCCTGAGTTAAACTTTCAGGGAATTTTAAAGTTGAAAAGACCAGGAATGTACAAGCTGATCACCAACCTAGTCACGGGTACAGCAACTGAACCTTATTATAAAAAGAATTCAGAAATATAAAATATGTTCTTTAGAGAGCAATTACATTTCCTTGTGGTCTATTAATTCAATATAGAACATGTAAAAAATGAGAAGGCATGGTTTTCTTCTCACATTTTGTCTAAGTCAGTTTTTTGAGTTGCCGCAAAATGAGGTTTTTCTGGGTCAATGTATGGACAAAAATATCCCACAGACGAGATTTGAAAAACACAGGCAGTAGGAAGTCATTCAACGTGGCGAGACATTTTTTTGTCGGGCTTTGTGTGGGGTGTCTTCCCTTCCCCCTCCAAAGCTGCTGGCCACCCCACCCTCTCTGCTCTCTCCTGCACACCCGCCAGGCAGAGCTTGTTGACCACTTCAGTGGGCTGCTCTGCCCTCTGGCTCCAGCTAACGGGGCTCTGGAGGATATGGGAGAATATGGTAGAGAGCGAGGAGAGGAAGGTCAGAGTAGGATGCTCTGGACTCTCTCTTTGCAGGGGCAAGCTGGCTCTGGTCAGGCAGCTACACCTGCTCCACCCCTTTGCCCCATCAGGACTCCTGGGGACTGCCCAGTCCCTGCAGTCACCCTAGCGCCTGCCCACGCTTCTACAAAGGGTGCCTTTTATTGAAGTTTCCTCAAATTACTTACATTCAAGAGTGCACCCTCTTCCCTGCCAACATACTGACCGATTTCCAGTCTTTCCTAGACATTTGCACACTCAGACACAAAGGTCCCTGCCGCTCTCCTTTGATTTTTTTTTTAAATTACTTTTTGCAGACTTTAAAACACTGATACATAATATTTGTCTGTATTTATGGGGTACATGTGATATTTTGTGAGATGCATAGAATGTGCAATGATCAAGTCAGGGTATTTTTGGGGTATCCATCACCAAAGAAGACTGTCAAGAAGAGAGTCTTCACTTTATTTCCCACTTTTGCCCATAATTGGAAGATCCTTTTTAATTCTCAGATCCACAGCATGTATTCCCAAGATGAATGATAAACTGAGTCAACATTTCTGCTCAACTCTGACTCTCCACTCTGGAAGCATTTCTGGACTGTGGTTTAGCCGCAGGAATTCATGCCTCTTTTTCAAGGTACCAAAAAGAAAGGCACTTCTTTTCTGAGCAATTCAAGAGATCTCACCATACTGCTACCTAAAATAAAATACTGGAAACAAAACTTTTCAATCTTTTTTTTTTTTTTTTTTTTTTTACTCAAAGAGCTGCATGCTGGAACTTTTCAATTTTTTATCTCTATTGTAAACATTCTATTTTTCAACTTTCAACAAAACTAAATAACCCTGGATCCCAAGGAAGCCTGTAAAGTTTGCAATATGGGTGGTGGTACCTCTGTATATACGACATTCAACAAGGTAATTAATCATTTTTTGTGGCAAAATATATAAAATTTACCATTTTAACCATTTAAAGTATACAGTTCAGTGGCATTAAGTATATTCACATTTTGCATAACCATCACCATCATCCATCTCCAGAACATTTTTATCATCCAAAACTGAAAGTCTGTGCCTATTAAATGACTCCTAATTTCTACCTTCGTACAGCCCCGGGCAATCACCATTCTACTTTCTAGATACCTCTTATCGGTGAAATCACTTATTGGTTCAACAACTCTAGATACCTCTTATAAGAAAAAACATACAGTATTTATCCTTTTGTGACTAACTTAGTACACTTAACAAAATGTCTTCAAGGTTCATCCATATCCTTGCATGCATCAGAATTTCCTTCCTTTCTGAAGGCTGAATAATATTCCATTGTGTGTCTATATAAATATATATATATATAACATACACACACACACACATAATACATTTGTTTATCCATTCATCTATTGAAGGACACTTGGGTTGCTTCTACCTTTTGGATATTGTGAATAATACTGCTATGAACATGGGTGTACAAATACCTGTTCAAGTCCCTATTTTCAGTTCTTTTTGGTATATACCCAGAAATGAAATGGCTGGACCATATGGTAATTCTATGTTTAATTTTTTGAGAAACCACCATACTCTTTTCCAAATGGCTGCACCAGTTGACATTCCCACTAGCAATGCACAAGGGTTCCAATTTCTCTACATCCTCACCAACATTTATTATTTTCTGTTTTTTGAGAATAGCCATACTAATAGATGTGGAGTGGTATCTCATGGTTTTGATCTGCATTTCTTTAATGATTAGTGGTGTAGAGCATCTTATTATATGCTTACTGGCCATTTTTTAGAGAAATGTTTATTCAAGTCCTTTCTCCATTTTACAATAGGTTTCTTTTAAATTATTAAATTGTAGGAGTTCTTTCTATGCTCTGGATATTAACTGCTTATCAAATATATGATTTCCAAATATTTTTCATCTATTCTGTGGGTTGCCTTTTCACTCTGTTGATAGTGTTCTTTGATGCATAAAAGTTTCTAATTTTGATAAAGTCTAATTTATCTATTTTTTCTTTAGTTGCCTATGCTTTTAGTGTCAAATTCAACATATCATTGCCAAATCTTGTGTCATAAAGATTTTTTCCCTCTGTTTTCTTTGAAGAGTCCTATAGTTTTACTTCTTTCATTGGTTCTTTGATCCATTTTAAGTTAACTTTGGTATATGATGTTAGGTAAGAGTCCAACTTCATTCTTTTACATGTGGATGTTCAGTTTTCCCAATTTGTTGAAAAGACTGTCCTTTTCCCACTGAATAGCTTTGGCATCCTTGTCAAAAATTATTTGGCCATATACAATGGGGTTTATTTCCACATTCTGTAATCTATTTCATTGGTCTATGTGTCTGTCTTTATAACAACACCATATTGTTTTGATTACTGTAGCTTTGCAGTAAGATTTGAAATCAGGAGGTATAAGACCTCCAATTTTGTTCTTCTTTCTCAAAATTGCTTTGGCTATTAACAGGCCCTTGAGATTTCATATGAGTTTTAGGAAGTATTTTTCTATTTCCACAAAATCACTTGGATTTTGATAGAGATTATATTAAATCTGGAGATTCCTTTGGGTAGTATTGACACCTTAACAACATTAAGTCTCCTAATCCATGAACACAGGATGTTTTTCCATTTATTTGCGTCTTCTTTAATATACTCACTTTTTATAGCTAAGAAAAGTGTGATCACTCTTGGCAGCTGTTTAACACTGGCTCCAAAAACAAGAGGTCCACAGGCCTGAGACCAAGGCCACAGCACTGGTCCCTGAAAGTCATGCTCTGTCCCCCAAAGAAGATGCAAATACTGGTGACACTTTCCCCATCACCCCTTTATATTGACCCCGGTAGCTTCTGACCTCATCTGTGACTCCCACGCCATGATTCAGTTGGCTAATTAGATCTACAGCGGATGGAGTAGAAAGCAGTTGTTTTGCCTACTCAACATCCATTCTCCCTTCTATGACAGCACCACAATTTCCCTTGGAACCACCTCTCCTCTCCTCTCTGTCCATGTGCTTTGGATGGGGCCGCCCACCCGAGTTTCAGCAGTGGTCATCAGAGCCAGGCCTACTTGATTAGGAAAGTCTCTTTGGCCACAGTTAGTGATCTGAAAGAGGCACAATGAGTCCAATGAGAGCTAATCCCAAAATCTTCACTGGAATGACACTTGGGTTCCACAGACTATGGGCAACAGGATGAGCCATCCCAAGGGAGCTAAGGATGGTGCCAGCCCAGAGCAAAGCAAGCCAAGAGATGAAAAGAACTTCATGAAGAAAGCATGGAAGCACCTGGAATCAACTGTGCCTGAAGTAAATAAGCTTGAAGTTTCCAGTTCCATGAGCCAATCGCTTCCTCTTTTTGCCTTGTAAATTTATATTCTGTCACTTGCAACCAAAAACAGTCCTAACCTGAGTCAATTGTAATCTGGCCCCTAATACTAAAACTATAGAAGTTTAAAAAAAAGGATGCTTTTTCAATGACTCCCTGAATGAATGAGTGAATGAAATATTTACATGGTCTTATTGCACAAAGGATTCAAGGTGCTTTACAAATCATATGTTATCAAATAAAATGAAAAAGTTATTACATTACTAAACCAGGTCTTGGAAAAACAGATGAAAGACAATCCAACAAGGAATGGTTAGCATGTAGTTGTCTATGCATGATATAGGTTATGCAGGCAACAAATGTGGCTCTGGACTTCCTGTCCACTAATGGAAAAAGCCAAATGGGTGGGGTTAATAAAATGATTCATCCAATTATCCATTCATTTCGAATGCTGTTTAAATATTTAAGACTACCTAATATCTGTTTAGATGCAATTCTCAAATCACCTGTTACAGCCTTTTCCAAGGAAGGTTTGTTACTTGATTTATAAAGTTTCATCTAATGGTCCATAACTACCATACAACAACACAAGAGAGGCTTCTTAAGGCCAAGGGCAGCTTATTTATCTTGGTGTCCCTCCCAGTGCCTGATAAATAGCAGGCACTCAATAAGTCTATGCTTCCTGAATACAATTAAAGTATGCTCTGCTGCCAAGATCTAAGTAGGCTCATGCACCTGTGAGGATCACAAATCCAATCAGAAAGAAAATGATTTCCCACAAGAGAGCTGAGTCACATTCCTTACATAAATCTTAAGTCTGTGACACATTTTTAGATCTTAGTCTAATATGAACCAAATCATAATGAGATACTTCCACATACACTTTGGATAAATCTAGAAAAGGAAAGCTGCTCATTCAAATTAAATTGTATGCTTTCTACATCATATTGGCTTTGCTGATAATTCACTTATGCTTAAATGTCAATTTCAAAACCACTGGGTCTAATTGCAAAGGCTTTAGTTCAGTCGTCAAAACAAAGACACTGAATAGAAGAGTTAATTAGAGAAATTTGGGGGATGGATGAATATCATTAAGAAGCATCTGTCCTTAGTGGGATAGTATCTACATAATAGCAAAAAATGGGTCTCAGAAAGGCTCCTGGTAGTGTGTATACTATTAATCCAGGAAGCTGAAAGATAGTGCACCAAGAGTGGGATTTCCCTAGGAATTAATTCTTATGTTTGCAAAAGTTTCATCAAGGACCTCATTTCTATATTGTATTGATGCTAGCATAGCATAGTGGATAAGAGTATGGGCTTTGAGCTCAAGTCCTTTTTCCATTCTCTACTGTGTGACCTTCTGGAAGTTTCTTTCTTTCTTTCTTTCTTTTTTTTTTTTTCTGAGACAGAGTCTCCCTTTGTTGCCCAGGCTACAGTGAGTGCCATGGTGTCAACCTAGCTCACAGCAACCTCAAACTCCTGGGCTCAAGCAGTCCTGCTGCCTCAGCCCCCCAAGTACCTGGGACTACAGGCATGCGCCACCATGCCCGGCTAATTTTTTCTATATATGTATTAGTTGGCCAATTAATTTCTTTCTATTTATAGTAGAGATGGGGTCTTGCTCTTGCTCAGGCTAGTTTTGAACTCCTGACCTCTAGCAATCCTCCCGCCTTGGCCTCCCAGAGTGCTAGGATTACAGGCGTGAGCCACCACACCCGGCCTTCTGGAAGTTTCTTAACCTCTCTCTCAGTTCCCTCTTCTATGAAATGGAGGTAAGAATGCCTCAGAAGAATGTCTTGGGTATTATGTAGGAAAATATTTGTAAAACACTTAGCACAGTTCTTGGCACATAGTAAGCCCTCAATATAAAATGCGTGAGTGAGTGTGTAAATTAAGGTGACTGGAATAGAACCCGATGCAAATCACACAACAGGCAAATCTTAGTGAGTCAGCTACTTAAAATCGACTCCTTTATTCATTTTATATTAGACATTTGACATATATAGTAGAGTCTAGTTTAACTTTTTAAAATAGGAAATTTATTTGAAGGGACTGAGGAAGCTCGCCAGATGAGAAAATAAATATGAAACCCCAAACTACAGCAAGTAAACTGCGACACAGCATCCCTGCTGTCATGACCAGACTCCAGATACCCTCACCAATGTCTTGACTGTCTACATCACAAGCCTGAAGTACAAGGTTGCATGAACACAAAGCAGCTCTGAACGGGAGGACCTGAGGCATTTCTTGCCAACATTTGCACTGTGTTTGTCTGTCAACTACACAGCCTGAAACACCCTCCGCCCTACCTGAATCGTCAAGTTGCTTTTGGTACTCAGGACCTTCCTCTCAGCATCCTGGAAGGCTCTCTGCAGCCTCTGTTCCATCGTCTGAGCAAACTTGCAGGACTGTATGTTGTCTGATTGGCTCACAAACTGCAGCACTAGAATGAGAGTAATAAATCAGTGCTCACCAAAGCTCTATGTCTCAGTTCCTTGGATTTAATAGCGGTCATGATATAAAACAGCATGATTTTAGATTAGAGAAATTAGGCAAATAAATAAACCCAGACAGGATTTGATTGTAGTTTTGAAAGTGGCTCTTAAAGTGATTTATAACATAGAAGGAGCATGATCGAACCATCTAATACAAAAGGTTTTATAATTTTATTTGATTGGAATATGTAGACATCTGCTCAAAGACTGACAAATCATAACCTGAAAGAGATCATGCCTTCTATTTCTTTGGAGGGGGAAAAAATCAATTGACCTCTATTACAAACTTGATTGAGTGTTTCAATTTCCATAGTTTTTCCAGTCTTATGTTTTACAAACTTTGTAGATCAGAAATCACCAGGGAGCTTAGAAAGAAAGAAAAAAAAGACAGAGAAATTCTGAGGCCTAAACTCAGAGATTCTAATTTAGTGGCATCTGAAACCCATTGCTCCAAGCCATAGATTTTTTGGATGCTCAACTCTTATCAGTATCCACTGGTAATACGAAAAGAAATATAAAATACATTACTTGGCGCTCATCAGTACTAAGTATATAAGTTAGGAAGAAAGACTCCAGTGATGGAACATTTCTAATATATTCAGGGTTAGAAAAACTTAGGCTGATATGCAGGGAACTTAGACATTTGATTAGCAGGGTCCTTGGAAGAAGGTACACAAGGACTTTTAAAAAATGACAGAGCTGCTAGCAATGGAGTTCTTAAACAGGTGTCCACTTGGTATTGCCCCTGATCCAGAATGGATAGGAATCTTCTCCTTCTGAGTTACTTGCCTGTTTTCAGCTGGAAGTAGCCTGCAGGCTGGGTATTCCACAAGGAGGCAAGTACGGCCACAGACTGTAAGTTGGGGGTGTGCTGCTTCAGATCTGCAGTGACGTTGCTGACTCCATAAACGCCCAGCATTTCTATCACTACAGCAGGCAAGTACACCAGCCTCCCTTTGGTAGCATAATAACCAACCGTGAGGTTATGAGCGTGTTCTAGGATGTCCACCTACAAAACAAATGGACCCACAGAACTCACTGTTGATTTCCACAGTACTTTAAGTTCTTCTTGGTGTTTCTCAGAACCACAACTGTTAGTAGCAAGATTGGAGAATAGGATGTTCTCAGTCAACAAATATTCTTAACAATCTTACAGAGTTGCTGTCCCCAACCCCTGGGCTGTGGCCCAGTGCCTGTTAAACTGGGCATGCATCACCACCTGAACTCCGCCCCGCCACACCTCCAAGTCCGTGGAAAAATTGTCTTCCATGAAACTTAGGAGCCAGGCAATGCAGCAGGAGGTGAGCGGTGGAAGAGCGAGGGAAGCTCCATCTGTATTTACAGCTTGCTCCCCATCACTTGCATCTCCGCCTGAGCTCCGCCTCCCCCCTCCCCACTACCATGTAAAAATTTTCTTCCAAGAAACTGGTCCCCGGTGCCAAAAAGGTTGGGGACTGCTGCATGTTAAAGCATATGTGGATTGAGACATCTCAAAATATCACAATACAACAAAATATAATTTACACCAAACCTACATGGGACAGAATTAAATCTGCATTTTTTAATTCTTTAAGTGCCTGGGTATAATCCTGTGAATACCGATTATTACCAAAAAGGCAGAGGGGAGATAGCAGGCCAAAGAGATTTCCAGCTAATGCAATGCTGAGGACAAGCGCTTTATTATATTTCTCATTTCTGAGAATTAAAAGGCAAGAATGACAGATTAAGAGGGGCACAGGTCAAGAAATTTAAAAAAAAGTTAATTCCTCCTTTGAGAAGCAGAGAGAAGACTTGTTTGGACTTGACTTCATCCTTGGCTTATAAACTGGTTCAAGACCAAGGCAGAGATGAGCCCCTGAGACCTTCCCTAACAGCTGAGTCCTCAGGGACACCGATGATCTGAGCTCTTTCTGTCCCGACTATAAGATTTCAAGGCTTCAGATTTTTCTTTCTTATTCTTATTTTTTTCTCTTTGCTTTCTTGGTGTTGTATATGAACAGTTCAGGGTGATTTTAGGGTTTTTTTATGCATTAAATGTAATGTTTGCTACAGAATTACATTTGAAAAATAGAGAAAAGAATAACACATATATACACATACAGTTGTGCATGCACTGTAGATACTGCTTTATAACCTCCTTTTTTCTAATTTTTGTTAGTTTTATTTCAAGGGAGTGCAAGTGTTTTTGTTACATAGACACCTTGTATTATGCCTAAGTCAGGGCTTTTGGTGTGCCCGTCACCAGAATAGTGTACATTGTACCCCATAGGTAACTTTTTATTCTCCCTCCCTCCCCCACCTTCTTGGTTTCTCGTGTATTTTACATTGCTTTGTGCCCGTGTGTGGCCACCTACTAGCTCACACTTATTAGTGAGAACCTGTGGTGTTTAGTTTTTCATTGCTGAAATACTTCACTTAGAATAACGGTCTCCATTTCCATCCACGTTGCTGTAAATGACATTATTTCATTCCTTTTTATGTCTGAGTAGTACTCCATGATATGTGTGTGTGTGTGTGTGTGTGTATCACATTTTCTTTATCTGTTAATCAATTGATGGGCACTTAGGTTGATTCCACATCTTTGCAATCGTGAATTGTGCTGTGATAAAAATTCCAGTGCAAGTGTCTTTTTGATAAAATGACTTCTTTTCCTTTGAGTAGATACTCAGCAGTGGGATTGATGGATCTAATGGTAGGTCTACGTTTATTTTTTTGAGAAATCTCCACGTTGGTTTCCAAAGAGGTTGTACTAATTTGCAGTCCCTTTCTCTCTGCATCCATGCCAGCATCTATTATTTTTTGACTTTTTAATAATGGCCATTCTGATAGAGGTAAAGTGGTATCTACTTGTAGTTTTAATTTGCATTTCCCTGATCATTAGTGATATTGAGCATTTTTTCATATGTTAGTTAGCCATTTATCTATCTTTTTCCGGAAAATTTCTATTTATGTCTTTTCCCCACTTTTTGATGAGGTTGTGTTTTTCTTGTAGATTTGTTTGAGTTCTTTGCAGATTCTGGATATTAGTCACTTGTCAGATGTATAGTTTGCAAATATTTTCTCCTATTCTGTAGGTTATCTATTCACTCTGTTGATTATTTCCTTTGCTGGGCAGAAGCTTTTTTATATAAGTCTCATTTATTTATTTTTGTTGTTGCTATATTTGCCATTAGCATCTTAGACATAAATACTTTGCCTAGGCCAATGTCTAGAAGAATTTTTCCTATGGTTTCATCTAGAATTTTTATGATTTCATACCTTACATTTAAGTCTTTAATCCACTTTGAATTACTTTAGTATATAGTGAGAGATAGGTGTCCTGTTTCATTCTGCATGTGGCTATCCAATTTTCCTAGCACCATTTATTGAACAGAGAGCTTCCTTTCCCCTAGTGTATGTTGTTCTCTGCTTTGTTGAAGATCAGTTGGCTGTAGGTAGATGGCTTTATTTCTGGGTTCTTTATCCTGTTCCATTGGTCTATATATCTCCTTTTATACCAGTACAATGCTGTTTTGGTTACTATGGCATTGCAATATAATTTGGAGTCAAGTAATGTGACACCTCCGGGTTTGTTCTTTCTGTTTAAAATTGTTTTGGCTATTCAGGCTCTTTTTTAGTTCCAAATGAAGCTTAGGATTATTTTTTCTAGACCTGTGAAATATGATGTTGGTATTTTGATGGAAATTGTGTTGAATCTGTAAATCACTTTGGACAGTAGGAAATTTTAACAATGTTGATTCTTCCAATCCATAAGCAAGGGATGTTTTTCCATTTGTTTGTGTCATCTGCAATTTCTTTCATCAGTGTTTTGTAGTTTTCCTTTTAGAGATCTTTCACCTCCTTGGTTAAGTATATTCCTAGGTATTTTATTTTCTTTGTAGCTATGGTGAAAGGTGTTGAGTTCTTGATTTGACTCTCAGCTTGACTGTTATTATACAGAAATGTTACTGATGTGTGTATTGATTTTATAACCTGACTTTCCTGAATTTATTTATCAATTCCAGGAGTCTCTTGGTGGAGCCTTTAAAGTTTTCTAGATACAAGATCATACCATCAGTAAACAGAGATAGTTTGACATCTTCTCTCCCTATTTGGATGCCCTTTATTTTTTTTCTCTTGCCTGATTGCTCTGGCTAGGACTTCCAATACTGTGTTGAATATAAGTGGTGACAGTAGGTACCCTTGTCTTATTCCAGTTCTTAAGGGGAATGCTTTCAACTTTTCCTCATTTAGTATGATGTTGGCTGTGTGTTTGTCATATATGGCTTTTATAATTTTGAGGTATGTTCTTCTATGCCTAGTTTGTTGAGTTTTTATCTTGAAAGGGTGCTGGATTTATTGAATGCTTTTTCTGCATCTATTAAGATGATCATATAGTCATCATTTCTATTATAAGGTGAATCACATTTACTGATTTGCATATGTTGAACTATCCTTGCATCCCTCTGATGAAACCCACTTGATCATGGTGGATTATCTTTTTGATGTGCTGTTGAATTCGGTTTGCTAGTATTTTGTTGAAGATTTTTGCATCTATATTCATAAGGGATATTTGTCTATAATTTTCACTTTTTGTTGTGTCCTTTCCTGGCTTATGATATCAAGGTGATACTGGCTTCATAAAATGAGTTAGGGAGGATTCCTTCCTTCTTGATGTTATGGAATAGTTTCTGTAGGATAGGTACTAGTTCTTCTTGGTAGGTCTGGTAGAACTTGGCTGTGAATCCATCAGGTCTAGGGCTTTTTAGTGTGTGTGTTGGGGAGATTTTTTATTACTGCTTCAATCTTACCACTTGTTATCAGTCTGCTCAGGATTTCTATTTACTCCTGATTCAGGTTTAGGAGGTTGCATATTTCCAGGAATTTATCCATTTCCTCTAGGTTTTCTAGTCTGTTTGCATAGAACTGTTTGTAGTATTCATGGATGATGCATTTCTGCAGTAGCAGTTGTAATGTCTCTTTTTTCGTTTCTGATTGAGCTTAATTGAGTCCTTTTTCTTCTATTTCTGGTTAATCCAGCTAGTGGTCTATTGATTTTGTTTATCTTTTCAAAGAACCACATTTTGTTTCATTGATCCTTTATCTCGTTTTTATGTTTTCCATTTTGTTTAGTTCTGTTCTGAGCTTTGTCATTTCTTTTCTTCTGCTAGCTTTGGGTTTGGTTTATTCTCTTTTTTCTAGTTGAGATGTGACATTAGGTTGATAATTTGTGATATTTCTGTCTTTTTGATGTAGGCATTTAAGGTTATTAACTTTCACCTTAGGACTGCTTTGGCTGTATCCCAATATTTTTGAAAGCTTGTGTCTCCTTTGTCATTCAGTTCAAGGGACATTTTGATTTTCATCTTAATTTCACCATTGACCCAAGGATCATTCAGCAGCAGATTGTTTAATTTCCATGACTTCATGTAGAATTGAGTGTTTGGGAATTGATTGGGCCAGTACTAGGGGATTGTATGTGGAGTGGTGGGTTGGTCCCTAGGCTGCTGTTGGAAGCTCTGGCAGGGAGCTGGATGAGTCCCTCTCCACTGAGGCAGGTACTACAAGAGACTGCTCAGCCTGAGTGTCCCTGAGGTGGTGGCAGCAGCTGTTTGGTGAGGCTATCTAGGCTGTGGCCACATGTGTCAGGGCTACAGATGTTTGCTTCATCTTGATCTAGGTATAATGGCAGTATGCAGCAGGGGCAGCTTGTGGTTATCGGGTCGTGGTGGAGAACTGGACCATAGATGTGTGATGCATGGCCTGCCAGCTAGCATGCAAGACCAAGGGGTTTGTTTTGTTGGTTGGCAGTCAGGGTCACCACAGGGGCATGGCCTGCTGGTTGGTGCACAAGACCAAGGGGTGTGGCCCACTGCACAGTGCACAGGGTGGGGTGTGTGGCCCACTGGCCAGTGCACAAGGCCAGAGTGTGTGGCCTACCACACAGAGCATGGGGCCACAGGGGCATGGACCTCCAGTGGTGGCATACAGGTCAAGGGGCTTGTTCCTCTAGTTGACATGCATGGCTGCTAGTTGGTGGGTAGGTCCACAAGGGTGTGAACCTCTGCTCAGTACCTGGGTCTGAGAGAGCATGGGCCTTGGTGCGGCACCACATGGGGTCAGGGGGGCTTATTCCACATGTTGGTGCATGGGGCCACAGGGGCTGGGCTGCTGGATGGCTGGGGCTCTCTCCCCACACAGGTCCTGCTGAGGCTGCTACCATGGGACCCCTTGTGCTCTGTTCGAGTTCCCTGGTGGGTGGGAGAGGCACCTGTCTCCCAGCCTTGGGCATGTGAGAGCGTCTGACCTCCCTGCTCCTTCCTTGGCCAGGCAAGAGGCAGTTCTGGGGCAGTTGCACCCAAGCCAATGTCTGTGTAGACTGGGTGCTCTGGACCTAGGAGCTCAGAGTGGCATCAGCTGCAGCAACCCAGAAACTGAGGCCAGCAGGTCCCTGCTGAACCTGCTCTCTGATTCAGCTTCATGATACAGTCTCCAAGCAATTCCCTTATCAGTATGGAGGCCCATGGTGGTGGTGGAGGGGCCCTCACAGCTCAAGTCACGGTGTCCACACAAGGAATGTGGGGCTCTGGGGCTCTCTCTTTTGTCCCTTCCCTATATATGGTGTCTCCCCCCAATATCTTCCAATTTTGACGAGTGGAACTCCCCATTCTTGTCTCCTCCATTCTGAGTGTCTCTGCTGATCCACAGTGCTCTCTCCAAGAGGGTCCATCCACAGGTGGGCAGTGACTTGCAGTCTTCATCTTCTCCTAGACAGCAGCACGTATGGGCTACTTCTAGTCTGCCATGTTGGCCCTGACCCCCAATTTTTTTTATTGTGGTAAAATACACACAACATACAATCTACCATCTTAACCATCTTTCAGTGTACTGACCAGTGGTATTAAGAACATTCATAATGGCATACAACCATCACCACTGTCCATCTCCAGAACTGTTTTAATATTGTAAAACTGGAACTCAAAGCGTTTTTAACACCTGCTCCCCCCTTATTCTTGCATCTCCATTAGGAGTATCTTGTATTTTCCAAAGGAAGCAAGACGACTGACTTTGTGGCAGGGTGGTGTGGCTTTGGTTCCTGCACATTGGGTGCTTTCTCTCAGTCTGTTTCCTAAAGGTGGTGTTCAAGATGATTTTAGCTGAAACAAGGGCTGCTTCAGGATGGGACATGGACACGGCACAAAACCACCCTAAATCATCCAGTGAGAAAGCTGCTCCCTTTTCAATCCTTCTGGTTACCTCAAGGAACAAGCCTCAGCTCGGTGATTATTTGCTTTTAACATCTCTCTATCCCTTGCTAATTTCTTTTTTAAGCAAACAAAGGACACCAGACTCAGCCTCAGAGCCTTCTGCAGGCAACAACATCTAGCTTAAATTTAACAAGCTGTTTGCTTCCCACTATTAGCATTTTTATTTGTGGCAAATGATCCTGATTTCCATATATGATGGTAATTATCAAATATCTTTCGAAAGAAATGATTTAAGTTTTAAAAAATGAACCCTCTTTTTTTTTTCTTTCTTATGAGACAGAGTCTCTCTTACTCTGTCAGCCGAGTAGAGTGCAGTGACGTCATCATAGCTCACTGCAACCTCAGATTCCTGACTCAAGCGATCCTCCTGCCTCAGCTTCCCAAGTAGCTGGGACTACAGTCATATGCCATGAGACATGGCTAATTTTTCTATTTTTAGTAGAGATGGGGTTTTGCTTTTACTCAGGCTGGTCTTGAACTCTTGAGTTCAAGCAATCCTCCAACCTCAGCCTCCCAGAGTGCTAGGATTATAGGTGTGAGCCACTGTGCCCAGCCTAAAAAAATGAACCCATTTTTTAAAAACCTAATACTTTGATGATATGCAGGAAAGACCAAAACTGAAAAGGTAGTTTGAGAATGACTGAAATTTAGTGGAAATCGTATCAGGCAACTAAATGGAAAAATTCACATTTTCAACTTCCAAATGGAGTTTCTATGCAAAAAACCACAGAAACTTCTCATGGAATATCTTTCTTTTCTTTTTCTTTTTCTTTTCTTTTCTTTTTTTCTTTTCTTCTCTTCTCTTCCTTTCCTTTTCTTTCTTTCTTTTCTCTTTTCTTTCATTCCTTTCTTTTCTTTTTTCTCTCTCTTTTTCTATCTTTCTTTATTCCTTTCCTTTTTCTTTTCCCCTCCTCCCTCCCTCCCTTCCTTTCTTTTTCCAGAATTGTATAAAAGAGATTGAGAATGACCAATAAACTGTGTGCCAAATTTCCTTCCTAGTCCTTGGTGTGATGGGTCAGGAGGGATCACCAGGCTGAGTACAGCTGGAGGACAAAACATCAGAGAAAGAGCCAGAGTAATATTTTTTATTGGTGCAAAAGGGACTCCACCAACTGCCAATTGCATTTACTGCTTGAAAACTTGGATCCAACCTAGAGAGTGTAAAGCAAGGCTTCCACCACTCAGATATGCCATTGAAATCAGCCAGTGCTCGCTGAACAGTACTTGGCATTAAAGCATTTGGAGAGAAGAAAAATGTTTATTTCTCTGTCTGCTGCTGGCAATTTAAGCCAAGTTAGACTCGATTTACAAGTTGGAATAATTTTTAAATGTCCATAAATAAATCACTATTTATAAGCTGAGGAAGATAAAGGAAAAAAACAATGGACAGTTTCTAGGGATTATACAAACGATATTAAACACTTTCCCCAAATGATGAGATAATGGGACAGTTTAAAACAGTATATCTGGGCTGTAAAAAAAAGTCTAGATATAAGGCAATTAGTCTCAATTTCCCATCTCAAAATGTGACCTTTCTCTCCAGCCACCATGTATTAGCTATTTGCCAAAATGAAGAAAGATTCTACTTCTGGCCAGCGTGGTTACGGTACCTACAAAGGAGGAAAACAATGTAAACATGCTTTGGACTCAAGAGGCAGGCTTGGCCTGGTTACAAAGCAGGGGGCTTACGTACGTGAGCCGAGACATCGTTCTGGTGGAAAGCCTTCCGCAATGCCTGCGTGAGCCCTTTGGCTACATTGAGCTTCAGGGATTCGCTGATCTGCACTCTCCTTTGGGTCAGAAAGAGGACTGTGGGGCAAAACAGAAGCATGGCAATCAGGGGAAGGCAGCCAACCCCATAATCAACCACTCCTCCCAGCAGCCGCTGTCTGCAAGTTCTGAGTAAAGCCAGCCAGCACAGGTCCAACCAATGAGGGGACGGGCTGGAGGGGTAGCTCTGTTGGTCCTGCTGAAGTCCCAAGGAAAGAAGGCCCTAGCCTTCTGTGTGGCCCTCAGGGACACAGAGCTGGTATGCTGATGGCAGTCCATTTCTCACAGATGCTGCCTCTGACTGTGAAAGCCAGGATCAGCACTGCCTTCTCTGAATGCAACAAAATTCCTGCAACATTTATAGACAGCCTACTTAGGTGCAGGCCCTGAGCTAGGTGCTGCAGCCTCAAACAACCCCGAGTCAGGAAGGTACAAGTCTTCACCTCACAGCAGGACAGAGACAGGCATGGAGACAGGACGGAGAAGAGGCCTTTGCAATTGAATGTTACAGGTGCTACTTGAAGGAAAATCTATGATGCTCTTGGAGCTCCTAAATGGAGCATCCATCCCTGAGCTGGGCAAGGGGCTAGGGATCAAAACAGGTTTCCATAGGAGCTGATGCTTCAGCTGAGTCCTGAAGGATAACAGGAGTGAATTTGACTAAGGAAGAAGGGATTGCCTGCACCCAGTCCCAGCAGAGGAAATATCAAGTGCAAAGGCACAGGAGAGAAGTGAAATATTTCAGTATACAGTGGCTCCCCCTTATCCACAGTTTTGCTTTCCGTGATTTCAGTTACCCTTGGTCAACCTCAGTCTGAAAATAGGTTATTACGGTACAATAAGATATTTTGAGAGAGAGAGAGAACATTCACCATAACTTTTATAATGGTATATTATTATACTTGTTCTATTTTACTGTTAGTTATTGTTGTGCCTAATTCATAAATTAAACTTTATTATAGGTATTATGTATAGGAAAAAACACAGTGCATATAGGGTTCGGTGCTATCCGAGGTTTCAGGCATCCTGCGATGCATCCCCAGCTAGGGGAGGACTCCTGTCCATGTTTAGGTTTGGCCCTGATGGCAATGGGAAAATGAAGAGTTTTAAGGAAAGAATGCATTTCAGAAGGTTCCCTTGACACAGACTGGAGAACAGACTGGAGAGGGGGGAAGTCTGAAGGCACAGAGATAAATTTGACTGTTGGTACAGAAATTTAGGTGAGCGATGATGACAGTATGAACCAGGATGGGGGATATTCAGGAAACAGAAGTGAAAGGAACTGTGACTGATGAAATGTGGCTGGGCGGAGGCTAGGGGAGAGAGGAACATTTCAGACTTCTACACCTTGGGGGGCCAGGGGCTGCCTGCCACTCAGAGGAGAGCAGGTGGAAGGGGGACAGGGCAAGTGGAACCGTAGGTGGTATAATTTCCTGAGAAACAGAAAGAGATACTCTACTTCCTGCTATGCCTAGTTTTACAATTTCCCATTTTAGAATAGGATATGTCTCAAGATATCATTTCATTTAATTCTCTGTGGGGTGAGGAGGAAGGCGGCATGCGAGCATTCAGCATTGGCACGCTCTTTCAAATAATCTAATGTTTTTTATAGCAAATGCTACCACACTATTAAAAGCACCCTGTGCATTCTAGGCCTGTTTCGCTACCACTGGGGAGTGGGGGCTGAAAAGACAGCATCCCAGCTCTGCTCACGGCTCTAGTGCTGCCCACCCCACTGTTTTCGAGTCTTCTCTTTTACATCAAAAGAAATCCTGGGCTCCCACATCATGTGCAGTAGCTGTACTTGTACTATCTGATGATTGAGAAAACACATGACAAAAAGCCTTTCTGAACTTTGTGGCACTTCCCAAGATCTTGTATTTTACAAACTGCATCATGCATTCATGTGAGACATCACTGAGTTCCTCTACAGGCAAAACGGTGCACATTTGTACTCTCAGACCAGCAGACCAACTGTGGTTTCCGAGGGGCCTCTGATATCAGGACTAATCCTAGGACTCGAATCCATGTCAATGAGGCTCCTCCTTTCCTCTGACACTTGATAAAGATCAAGGTTCCCCAGCCTCAGCCCCATGGACGTCTCAGGCTAGATTAATCTTTGTTGTCAGGAGCTGTCCTGTGCATTGTAGGATATTTAGCAGGATCCCTGGTCTCTATCCCACTAGATTCTGGTAGCACCACCCCAAATGTGGCAACCAAAAATGTCTCCAGACACGGCCAATGTCCCCTGGGGGAGGAGGAGCAAAATCACCCCTGGTTGAGAACCACTGATCTAAAACAAAAATAATTGTTACATCTCTGAGGCCAGGCTTGCTGCTTTCAAGTAAAATCAGAAGGACAGTGGACTCGTACCTGTCTTCACCAAGAGCTTACTGGACATCTGACACTCCAGGCTGGATGCCATTTTGCCAGTTGTGACCACAGCAGCCGATGCAGCAGGAGGAGCACCATCTGTGTTTTCTGTCCGCAAGGGTGGCAAGCGGGTGGCCTTCACTGAGGCTGTCATGGATGTCAACGCTGCTGTGACTGTCAGCGGGCGTGGGGTGGATGCTCTGGGCGTCTCCGGGTTGGTGGGGTTTGGGAAGCCTGTGTGCATGGCTTGTGGTTTCCTGGGGAGGTGTGTTGTGGACAACAGGCCAGAGGCAGTGCCTGTGTCCCCTTGCATGGCTGTATGTGTGCTCACGGTGTGTGCTGTTCTTGCAAACATGTAGGTTGGCGTGAATGGGAAGGCTGTATGGAGTGTCCCTGGTGTTGCCTTTGAGCCAAAGGCCACCTTGTTTGTGACATTTTTAGCTAGAGTAGTGGTCAAACTGCTCTTGCCTAATCCTGAGGCCACAGCCAAAGGGCTGCTGCCGGTCCCCTTAGCAACTAGAGCTGCAGACAGCGCCGGTGGACTTGGTTTCCGCAGGAACAACGTGGCTGCTGCTGCCGCTGCTGCTGCTGCTGCTGTTGGCTCTACCTTGGATAACACTGAGAAGTCCACTGTAAAGAGACAAAAAGCAACATCTGTCATTGGCCCGGAATACATGCATCACTTGTTCTGATGATGGATGGATGTAACTCATGGGTTTGCTAGGGTGAAAAGTCTCTGCACTCTGGGCTTGCAGTGGGGAGAACTTACTCAAAACAACTTTAGGCTCCGTTAGTCGATTAACCATAATGAGAATGCCACTTACGGCAAAGCTGTGGTTGATAAGGAGGACACAAATTCTGAACACTTTCAAAACATCAGGTGGGCAGAGGATCAACAACATGACTATCTCGGGGTGCTAACTCACTCCTGAAAGGGGGTATGTGCTCCTTCAGAGCAAAGCTGGCATCTGTGTTGAGGCTGAAGAAACTCTGGCTACAAAAGCAGTCATACCTGTTTTGGGGGAACCAGGAAACAAACTACCTCCACTAGTGGCTGCACCTGTCCATTTCTTGGGGTGCTGAGAAGCCTGTGGCACTTTGGAGGGGGTGGTCCTGGAAAAGGCACTGGTTGATATAGGAGGAGATTCGGCAGTAGAGTGATGTCTCAGGATGCTCTGGAATGGTGTGGAAGCATTCATCACAGGTGATGGATAGATGTCGCCGGAAATGTGGGAATCTGTATCTGTTCCATCTGAAAGCATTTCCTGTAAGCTGGATGTAGAAGTCAGACTTGGTGAGGTTAGCAAAAGAGGATGTGTTGGCTGGGCAGGCAACTGTAGATGGGGATGAGACGCAGAACGCTGACTTGTGGATGGGTCATATTCAAACTCAGTTGTCTGGAAGTCTCTGGAATGGCTGTTATTGCTAGTGGGCCAGAGGTCTGTACGGTTTCCAACCACAGCCCCGTCTGACTGTTGTACAGGCTGGTTGGTGCTTGTACCAAGGACTGGATCCTGAATGTTAAAGCCGCCTGCAGTCACTGAATGCCCAGCAGTGTCTCTGAAATCCTGAGATTTTATCGCATTGGCAGCTGAAGTTAAACCACGGGGAGGAGTTGTGGAAGCTGAATGGGATGCCCAACTTGTGGAGTTAATTGCATGTCCATTTAAATCATAATTTGTTTGCTGCTGCAAGCCAGATATTGTTGATTCTGTGGAAAGGGATCCAGTTACTGATGAAAGAGAACTCCAGAAAACATCTGCGGCTGCTGGCTTTTCCGTGTTTCCCATTGTTGCGAAATCATAGACATCAGTGGAGGAGGGAATTGCTGTCACCTGTTCGGAAGCTGGAGCTGGCAACTCTGAATGGCCCACAGTGGCTGTGTACGTCTCCGGCTTGGTGCTGGCAACGCCAGGAGACGGGGAAACAGTCCAGGTTGTTTGTGCAGAGGGTGTGGGAGGTGGAGGTGATCCCGGAGGAGAAAGCTTTGTCCCGGGCGCTGTAAGGACAGCAGATGAACTCCGATCAGCACTGAGATCAGAGACGAATCCATTTACAGTGTGAAGACTCAACACCTCTTTACTTGGAAAGGCCTGGAGAGGAACTGTCACATTTGCCTTTTCACTTTTCCTTAAAATGGCTGTCACACGGTCCTCTTTCCACCGGGGAAATGTCCAAGTCGTTGAAAGGTGAGGAACTCTGCTTGAGAGGAGGAAGTCTGCAGCCGCGGTAGGAAGGGCCCCGGCACGGCCGTCCTCTGCAGGAGCGGGCACCCCTAGCACAGGGGCGCGGGGGGCGTGACTCTCTGCAGGCTGCAGGGAAGTGAGCCTGGAGGGCAAGTCGGCTGTCCTGTTCCACGGAGACGCAGGAACCACCCCAGAGAGCATGGCTTGCCCTCGACCTGGTGTGGTAAAAGGCAGAGAAGAAGGCACCCAAGAGGAAGATGTGTGTTCTGCTGAATGGGCGGGCCCTCCGGAATTCTCTGGAGCTGCTGACAAATGCAGCGGGTTAGCAGAGTCATTGGCGGTAGCAGGGGCTAGCTGTCTGCTGCTCATGTCTATGGCCACTGACGCTGCGGTCTGGAAAAGTGGAGACTCAGCCTCGCGGGTCGCTGCGGCTGCGCTCTCAAAGGTCGGCAAAGACACCCCATTGTGCACTCTTTCAGCCACCTCAGCTCTGACCGGCTGGGTGGACGCAGGACCCGAAGCCACTTCCAACACTGACCATGAGGGGGCTCCGCCCGGAAGCCGAGGAAGACTTCCAGGGGCTGGGAGAGGGGAGGACGGATGGGCCAGTTCTTCCCCGGAGCCCCGAAACCCTGGTGTGGGTGAGCCTGCTGAGTGGGGACCCTCTGTTGGGGACAGCTTGGAATATTGCTTTGTTGAGGATCCTGAAAAACCTAGATGAGGGGTGCCCATGAAATCCTGGGGATTTGGGGATAGAGTGTGGTCTGTTTCGTCAGAAAACGGGTTTAGGGGATTCGCTAGGCTCTGACCTGAAGTGGGGTCAGCTGGCACTGGGAAAGGGACTAAACGCACTTTGGTGGGCTGCTCTGTTTGCTTAGAAAAGATGATGGAATGAGGTGAGTCAGGAGCCAATGAAGAGGATGAAGGTGGAAGGAGAATGTCTGAGCTTGGGGGATGCTTTGAAATGGAGGGGGTCCCTGCCTGAACCGGCCGAGACGGGAGGACGGCGCTCGGGGACATCACTGACGGGACCGTGGCCGCGGGGGGAAGCATGCTGGTGAGAGGCGAACCTGATGCGTCGGCCGCTTCTCCTCCCCCTTGAGGCCCTGGCTGGACCAGGGACTCCGTAGAATCCTTGGAAGGGTCGAGGGAGGCGCTATGTCCGCTTCCTTGGAAAAGGGAAGAAGAGAAGTCCACGTGAGCCCTAGTCCTGCGGCGGGTCTTGGGCGGAGGGGTTCGGGCGAGCAGCGGCCAGCTTGTGTTGTCAGGGGACTGTCCCAGCACGGTCTTGGTTCTGTCCGCTGCAGAGGAAGACTTGACTTCTGAGAAAGGCCATGTTGGTGAAATCGGTAACAATTTCCCGTGAGGAAACGATTCAGGGGTTGGGGTGACATCTATCTGTAGATTGTCTGTTCCTGTGAAACGAAATACCAGGCAATCAGGCGTTGGATAAACACAAAAGCCCTGCCCTGGTCAGGTGCTGGAGACAAGGGGTGTGCAACTGAGGCACTGCCTGGACCACACGGAGCCTCCGCCCCATCACGGAGGGCTCAGGAACAAATTCAAACAGGGAATGATATAATCTCAAGCATGCAAATGCTGCAGCTAACCTACAGGGCAGGGCTGGTGACAAGCAGTCTCTGAAGTGAGGTTTAAGGGAAGATGTGGAAAATACTTATGTATTTAAAACCAATTTCTTTTTGGTGCCGACTATGAGGCTTGGACTGTGAAACTCGCAACCTAGAAAATCAAAGCCGAACGTGGCTACCTGCCATGGCCAGTGACACCGAAATAAACCTCACCTGCGAACCCAAACTGCAAGAAACTAAAGAAGGACCCTATCCGATCATGAATCTGTTTTGGGGACCCTAGCGCATCTTAAGTGAAATATTTGAGGTTGCCTATGTTTGGAAAGATGGCTCCAATGAAATACACTTACCTTCCTGGATTTAAAAGGATTCCTGCCACTACCATTCATGCCATGTCAAATAGCCAAGGGGATTTCGTTCACATTAGGCTGTTTCAGAAGAGAAACCACTCACACCCAACCGAGGAGGGAGGCACCCCTCACAGGGGCTGGTGTCACTACGAACACCTGCGGAGACCAGATCTGCCAGCACCAGTGTGTGAAAGTGCAGGCAGAAAGGCAAGGAGGCAGGGCACCAGACAGTCACCTCCATGGAAAGGAGGTGAGGAAAGAACTGGTAGAAAGCGGAATCACACACAGTTGGGAAGAGAAACAACATCCTGCCTGAGTGGATTCTCCTTTCTGTGGTTTCTGAGTGTTGACAGTGCTGATCACCCCCCCAGAGGTGGCTAAGTGTCCTTCAAGAATATTTTCAATTAAACGTAATATATTGTTGCAAATAGCTACAAGAAGGATATTGAACATTCCTAACACAAAGAAATGATACATGGATATGCTAATTACCATGATCTGATTGCTATGCATTAAATGTATCAAAACATGACTATGTACCCTATGAATATGTATAATTATTTGTCAATTAAAACTTAACTTGTTAAAAATAAAAGGTGCTTCTAGAACTTTCTATGTTATTAGCTAAAAATGTTAGTTAGAACCATCTAGTAGAAACAAACCAACCAAGAAGTGAAGTCAGAAGATCTGGGTTTGAACGCAACCTTGGCCACCGGGAGCTGGGTGTGCATTGGTGGACCTCGGTCGTAAAATGTGGGGGCAATAAGCACACCCTAACTACCCCACCAGGCTGTTGTGAGGAGCAAATGAAATTACAGAAGTGGAAGGAAGGGCTCTCCAAACAGAAAGGCACTAAACAACAACAAAAAATGTTTTTAAAAGCACTAAACACATGAGCATTACAGGCTCTAAGCCCCTGTGTTTTTTTGTCTAACAAAAAAGGACACTGGAGTCCAGAGGGGGGACACCATTTGCCAGAAGCCACAAATCTGGTGAGGAACAGTAGCAGGTCTCAATGCACGGTCTCGTCACTCCCAACACCATGCTATCTCCCATACAGTCTTGCTCACCCGTCCTTGTCTTCACTCGGCCCCCATAATATGCCACCACTTAAAAAGCCAAACAACTAAACCTAAAAATCTCAAAATATTTGCGCTTTTATAATACACAATCTTCTCTACATTCACAAAAGCTAGACACTGACGGTTTTCTGAAAGTCTCTTCAGTTTCATTTTGTAAGACTTGAAAAAATAAGGACAGAAGGATGTCTTTTACTTTGCATTAGGGAATGCACAAAAAAAGTCCTTTATAATTCTTCCTTTTCTTGTTTGTAGAATTCCCAATTCTTGGGATTTACAGATAACCAAGAAATAGGCCTTATGTCATTTTTAGAACTTGCCAGGGCATAAGCCAATACCACATCAGTCAATGAGTTTGTAAGTCAATCTCTTACAAACTCATTTTGTAAGAGACCAAACCCTTCTCCTGGGTGAGCCTTCCTCACAAGCCCAGCTCAGTCTAGTTGTCTCCTTTTCACCAGATTGGAATCATTAGGGCAATTTCCAGTAGAGCCAAACTCCCTCTGGCCTCTCCTAGCCAAAGCCCACCTTAAATAGAAATAAATGGCAAGATGCATTCATAGCTCCAAAGTCTACATGTGTTTTATGGCCTCCTTGGGAACTGCTTCGAGGTTTGCAAAGAAATTGTGTTTCTATGTTAGCACATGCAGCATAAGGAACTATTCCTCCTCAGGCGGTTACAAATTTTCAGGGAAGGAGGATATTGCTTTCATGCCTCAATCCTTCCTGTTCATGTGGCTTATCTCCTAGACAGCTTCAACTTTATACTTTGCATGCAATCATGTCTGGTTACTTATATGGGTGAATATAACATCCATATGAGGTAGTGTTGCCTTTGGGTGTTCTCCAGTTACACTTTAGAATCCATTTTTATTACTTGGACGTCAGGCAAAATCTATGTAGGATTTCTTTTTTTGCACTTTCATTGAAAGAGATTCAACCATGGGTTCAACTCATGGATTTAAGAGTCAAAACAAATGCATCTTGTTTCAAGTAAGTAGCCTTGTAACTCAAAAAGGATGCTACAGGCTGAACAGCTTTTGCTTTTGGCAAGAAGTTTCATAAATTCTTTCACAAAAACTTTTCAAGCAGGATTCAGGAATGGATGGTAATACCAAGGGATCTGTAGCCGACTGAATGACCACAGCCAAAGGAGGCCGATGGAAAACTCCATGATGAACTGAAGAAAGTCTCTAGTGACTTTGCTTTTACTGGACTTTATTATTTTCTAGACTAGAATCCCATGTTTCTCAATGAAGACCTCATGAAACACAGTCTTCCAAATGCCTCATTAAAAAAGTTTCTAGGAACAATTTTGAGAAGTGTTGTATACTATACTCACATGTGATAGTCGTTAATGGTGTTCACTGTATGTTTCTGGCTCCCTACCTTCTGAGAACATGCTAGGACTGAACTTCTTGGATACTTTTGTGGTTGGCTGGGGTCATGTAACTAGTCCTAGCCAATGAGTTGTAAGCAGAAATGACAAATGTTACTTCTAGGCTAGAACATTTAAATGCTGCAGAAAGAGTCTCCAGAACTCTCTTTCTCTGTAGCAAAACAAAATAAAGTAAAAACAAAACAAAACCTAGCAACATTATATATATATATCTCAATAAGCTGTAACTGAAGAAAAAGGAGGTGAAGGAGGAGAAAGAAGAAATTAGCAATGCTCAAAATGTTTGGTGTTCTACCAGACTGGGTCAATTACAGACTATAATAAGCAAAGGTCCTCTGCAGACAAATGGTGTACTGGTAGCATGAACAAGAAATGAGCTTTTGGTGTTTTAAATCACTGCAATTTGGGGGTTGTTATTGAAGCATAACCTAACCTATTCAGAAATTGATATCAGAGTGGATTTGGAACATATGTGGGCATATTCTCATGTACATCAACATTTAAATAAAGGCTCAGAAAAGTTCCATAATCAAGATAACATAATAGTCCTTGGTATGTAGTAAAAAAAAATCAATAAATAGATGTTGGATGGTTTAACTAAACTTTGTTTAGCCAACATTTCTCAAACATATTTGAGTCAAAACACTTGACCTTAGAATTTAGTGACTTAAAAAAAAATCAATGATATACATAAAGCTAAAGAAGAAAAGCATTCACTGAATTAGCAAATTTCATCAAATTCAGAAGAATAATTGATATGAAACATTTCAGACAAACATGTTTCAAAGACATGTTAACCGACTGAAATTACTGCTAAAGGAAGACATAGATTAGAACTAAATATATAGGCTTGCTTTTAGTCCAAAAATTACCTAGTCAGGAACAGGATGAGAGAACTTCTTTTTAAGAATAACTTATGTTGGTAAAAGACTTAAATGTAAGGCATGAAACCATAAAAATTCTAGATGAACATGTTGGAAAAACTCTTTTAGATTATCAGCCTAGGCAAAGAATTTATGAAGAAGACCCCAATGGCAATCACAGCAACAACAAAAATAAATAAATGGGAGTTGATTGAATTAAAAAGCTTCTGCACAGCTAAGGAAATAATCAACAGAGCAAATAGACAACCTATAGAATGGGAGAAAATATTCACAAGCTATATATCTGATAAAGGGCTAATAACCAGAAACTACAAAGAACTCAAGCAAATGAGCAAGGAAAAAGCAAACAATCTCATTAAAATATAGGCAAAAGACATGAACAGAAGCATTTCAAAAGAAGATAGACAAATGGCCAATAAACATATGAAAAAATGCTCATCACTATCTGGGAAATGCAAATTAAAGCCACAATGAGATCCGGTTAGAATGGCTTTTATTAAAAAGCCCTAAAACAATAGATACTGGTGTGGATATGGAGAGAAAGGAATGCTTAATCACTGTTGGTGGGATTGCAAATTAGTACAGCCTTTATGGAAAACAGTATGGAGAGTCCTCAAAAAACTAAAAGTAGACCTACCATTTGATTCAGCAATCCCACTACTAATTATTTACTCAAAGGAAAATAAGTCATTTTATCAGAAAGACACCTGCATGTGAAAGTTTACTGCAGCACAATTCGTAAGTGCAAAGATGTCAAACCAACCCAAGTGCCCATCAATTCATGAGTGGATTAACAAGATGTAGTATATGTATACCATGAAGTACTACTCAGCCATGAAGAGGGATGAATTAAGGCCTTTTGCCACAATCTGGATGGAACTAGAGACCATTATCCTAAGTGAAGTATCTAAAGAATGGAAAAACAAACACTACATGTACTTGCTATTAAACTGGAACTAACTGATAAGCACACATGTGCACAGAGAGAAGTACTATAAAACTCAGTAGAAATCAAGCAGGGAGGAGACAAGAGGAGGGATGGGTGAAAATCTATCTAAAGAGTACAATGAACACTACCTGGGTGATAGGCACACTTATAACCCTGACTCAAGTG